AAAACCACTTTCACTAAATCGGAAACCTTGCATATATCGTTAATGTATAATATAAATAATTTAGGTCCCAAAACAGAACCCTGAGGCACTCCATATACAATGTCCAACTCACTTGATCTTCTTATAACGGTGATAAGGAGAGGATGTATGGGGAAATTAAGAAAAAAAGTGAGAAAAATGTATTAGTTTTATAATATTGAACAAATTCATTTTAAGGTTTAGATATATATTATGTTATTATACCTTTTTTTTTTAGTGTATTTTGGGGGGCCGCTTGGGGGCCGTGAGGTGCGCCTCACAGCCTCTCCTCATCGGGGTCTGACCGGACCGGGGCTGGGGACAGTGGGGGGGCCTTCACCGGGGCTCTAACACACACTCGCTGGGGACGCGCCTCCTCCATACTCCTGAAAAGAAACAAGTATAAGACAAAATGGAATATTTAGAAATTCAGATGAAGTGTTAACAGATGACTACATAAAATCGTTAATATTATTAGATAAACTGATATTTACCATGCACATGAAAGGTCTTACACTTCATCCTGCCCTCCATCACTTCCTCTCTCCTCACTCTGAAAGATAAATAGAAGACCAGAGGAGCTGTAGCTCAGGTTTTTAAAAAACTAAGGCACAGATGATTGGTTCATGACTACTATATAAAATGTAATTAAAGCAAATAAAATTATACTTACCTGTTCGAGATGTTAAGATGTCATTATGCACCCAACACATCTCCTCTCCTCTCCTCTCCCTGTTTCTTATTTCCTTTGTTTTCTCATCTTTTCATGTTATTTCTACACGATTATCAAAATAGTTGTGAATTTATTGTAGGCAAATATGAACAGCACCTACCTGTGGGCTGTACAAGCCCAATCAATCCACTAAAGGGAATAAACACCTTTTTGTGGTTGTTAGAAAGTTAGAAAGATCACCTACAGTGTCTTCAAGGTCTGTTTTAAGTACAAATTTCCCTCATTGTTTTCCCACAAAGCGACAAGTGTGGTGGGGAGATGGCAACAAAAACTGGGAAATCTGCACCAACATTTGAAAATACCCACATGATTTTTCTATCAAGACTGTGAAATAGTTCTAAATTTCTAATTTTTCTGCAGAAATTTTTACATTTTTTTGTTTCTCCCCTCCTCCATTCAGATTAAAGGAATCACATGTCAAACTAAATGGAATATTATTTAGAAATTCAGATTAAGTGGGAACTGATGACTACATAAAATTGTTAACATCAAGATCAAAGATTTTTATTGTCAATTCACTATATGTGCAGGACATACAGAAAATCAAAATACCATTTCTCTCACCTAGTACTGAATGCCATTCCATTTAGGAAACTAAATATATATATATAACTTTTTAGTTTGTTCATCTTAGTTTTGTGTGGTTTCATAAACAAAATTATTTTCTTTGCAATCCACAGAAATCATAGCAAGCTATTAGTGACGCTGAATCTGCACGCCAAGAGAGTATCTCCATAAAAGTATGTACTATAGGCCTACTCTTTCATGGAGCCATAACTTGAACAAACAGACATAAAGGACAGTGTTATAATTAAATCCGGTATGACAGTGATATCATCTTCAATATTATCTCTGATGTCAATCTCAAATAAACATCTGTAAATCCGTTTGGGGAAAGATGCTCTCTCTAATTCCAGATCTTGCCAGAGAATCTTCAAATTTTAGTGCTTTCTTCAGTATAGTGAGAAATGTCTGCATATCCACTGAGTTAATTTGGTATACCTTTAATGGTACCTTTTGGTAAAATGTATGTCAAAAATAAGATAGAAAACAGATTTCAAATTGGAGTGCATGACTAATTAACCCCATGGCAACATTACACTTCCTGTTTACATCCCCCAAAGCCCCCAGATTATGGGAAATGTAGCTACCAAGATTAGAGCCTAATTATGCCCCAAGCTGAAGTAAGACAGAGAACAATAATATTAGGAGTAACTAAATCCATTATAATTCACAGGATATATTATATTATCATTAACATTACATTTTTTTCCATATTGCATTACAGTGTCAATATTTTTGAACACTACTCAGGCTCAGCTGTCAGAATATTTTTTGTATTTTGCCGCACTGACATTCCTCTCTGTCCATTAATCTTAAACTTCTCGTGTTGAAAAACTGTAGACACAGATGAAAAGTCAAGAATTTCAAATTGCACTGAGGATATGGGGAGCAGACTGGATAAAGAGACTCTCTGGGCAGACAGGCACTTTCTGTTTTCTCCAGAAGAGGTCACTCTCAAGATTAAAGATTTTCCAACTATCTCTCAATAATTTTTGTGCATCTTTTGTGCACTGAACTGCTCTGAATGACAGGTTGCCCAGGTTCCAAGACAGCCAGCCACTGCTGTGGCTCAAAGAAAACGTACAGTGAATGAAGAGGTTTCAGCGGAGAAAATCAAATCTTGATTCAACTTTTCGGAAACCAATTTTTTTCCCAGTTTAATTTGCAACATGTTGCTCATTTGTCAGAGCACATGTAGTAGTGAAGCTAACGTACAGCCACAGTGCAGAGGGTCATTGCTGCTCCAGTTAGGTAGAGGCCAAAGCAAGGTTTCTCTCATTTTTGTTGTTTCAAAGTAACAGTCACCCTGGCTTACTGGGAAGCTGAGGAGGGCAGCGTCTGTATTCAAACACCTTCATCATCCTCTGCAAGAGTTTCCATCTAACGCGGCTAAGTAGGTAAATGTGATTGAATATTGATCTGAGCTGTGGAGGTTTATCCATCCACAGAAAGGATGTACAGAGAGAACAGTGAAAAAATGTCCTTAGGGACAACCCAATGATGCTTTGATGAGTTTTCATTCACCTAATTATCTAAAAATAGGTTCCATGGCATATTTTTCAGATTCATTCATGACCTCCAGGAGTACAATAGCACCACTCAATGGACACAAGAGCACAGGACACAGGAGAATGCTGGTGATAATCAGTATTTGCTGTGATTTTCTTGCTGTTGTTCTCTGTGATATTAAAACAGTTTAATGCCGAACACTGGGGAACATTTCAACAAACAAAAGACAGCGTTTTGTTTGATGTATTTGTATTTTTTATTCTCTTGTTTAGAAACACTGGTTCGGTTTTCTGTCATTCTGTCAGAAATAACCATAAACCTCAGCCAATCAGCGAGATTTGGAACCTTTCCCCACACAGTCGGGGGCATACACACACACACACACACACACACACACACACACACACACACACACACACACACACACCGTACTGTTCTCCAGCAAACAGCATCCACACAGGATTTTGGTGGCACTGTAGAAATACTGTATCATAGCAACACCGTAGCAACGCAGCCTACAGCTGAAACAAAAAAAGTCCAGGCAGTGCCGTGGCAGAGCAAGCTCCAGTCTGCTACTGCTTCGGTATTATGCTGAGTGGAAAGTTCACATTTCAGCATATCAGTACGACAGGAAGACTCTCCAAAACTATTATGCTCGATTTGTGGGCACAGAAAGCCTTGTATATATTTACAGTACAGTGCGCATATATTTAAAATGCAGATATGTGGACACATCCATGCACACACACACACACACACACACACACAATTTCAAACATGCTTCCCAGAAGCAGTGAAATGGTCACATGTCTTAGACACCGTATAACATGACAGCAAAAAAGCAACAATGATACCATATATAGAAATATAATAATAATAATAATAATAATAATAATAACTTTAAAAGAACATTTCATTTAGATAAGATAAACACTGAAAATAGTGACTGAGAACTAAATCAACAGTGATCTCCAACACAACATGTCCATAGCAGGACTCAAGCACGTTTTTGGACCCGATGAACATTTCCCCTTTCTGCTATCCAGATCCCTCATGCACTCGATTTTCCTGAAACTAGTGCGCTCATTTCACAATGTAATGTTGACAGGTATCCATATTGTACTGGACTTGGTCATTCATATTGCAGGGATTTTTAGGAGCACAGATGTTTTTGCATCTTTATAGAAGGCTCTGTAACAGTTGTGTGTATATTATAAATATTGAAACGTAAGTGTAAAATACTATCTTTAAAGCAGAGATTAATAAAAATCCAGGCAAGTCAGATCTGCATTAGTTTCTTGAAAGATTAATCAATGAATTGTGGGCAAAATGACTGTAAGATATTGTCAGTGTTTGTGTGAATTTGTGTTTCTAACATTTACTGACCTATTCAGACCTATTCATTAATACATTTTAGATGAATTAGTCATATTAAATATCAAAGTAGGCAATGTGACATTTTAAAGAGTTGGCGTTAAAATAGATTTCTCTAAATAATCAGTACTAATATACTTTTTCTACTTTAAGTAACTTTTAGGCTATTTGTGAGTGTACATACTACAAAATCAGCTGCGTGCAAGTCTAGGGTACAAATTCTATTACAATAATAATTAAATTCATCTCAAATTAAAGTGTTTCAGATTAAATATTAACCCTAACGCTATGGCACCCAGATCATGATCCCACCTGCTGGTGCTGTCTGTTTTATTAGATCATTTTTTTGGGAAGATGTTGGATTTGTAGATGGTTGGCTATGAGTCAACTATATACAGTAAATCATTAATGGTTATTCAAATAAAATCAAATTTGTTGTTTCACAATTGGAACTGTTTGTTCTGTGATACAAAAAAAAAATATTTTGGAAAATAAATAAGCAGTGATACATTGTTTAAGGACACCTGTCCAGAATGACCAGAATTAATGGAGAAAAATACTTGACCCTGTATGTGAATGACTATAACTCAGTACAGTATGGTACAGTGTGGCTCAGCAGCATGAAAAGAGACCAAACTCCACTGCCTGAATGTTTCCTCTCCTTTGTCAGTGTTTCTCAGGCCTAGCTACTCAGGCAGTGTGACCCAAAATAAAGCTTGATTTCTGGGGTTCAGAACTTGGCCTCAGTGCTCGTCTGATCTAGAGGCTGAAAAGAGGAGCGGATCCTCTGGGCTTCATTAATGCACAGATGACCGAACGCCTTGTTGTACCATTCTGGAGATCTTCCTCTGTAACATAAATAGCAAGTATTGCATATAAATGATCACAATGCTAATTAGAACATTTACAATTAGAACACTTGCAGTCTGCCCACACCTGAGGTCCACTCTAGAGATATGTGTGAGCCTGGTCCTTCCCATCCCACAGGGCTCCAGGAGGTACTGTGACTCCAGCACAACCCCCCTCACTGTTCCCATGCGTGGGCTGTCGTCATGTTCGATGGACAAACACACCAGCGCAGAGGAGCCTTTACCCAGGTCTGTACACCATGATCTGAAGGGGCCGAGGGAAAAAAGGTGAAAAGCTCTGAGTTCAGTCAGGAGTTTAATGTATGAATGTGATATATTGTCTGGTATCCTTTTAATGGACCAAACTGCAGATTATTTTCTTGATTAATCAAAATTCAATTCAGCTCTTTAGATAAAAACTTCTAAAACAAACAAAACATGCTAATTAAATTCAGTCATCCTGACCTTAGTACCACATAGTCACAGTCGGGTCGAGGTGCCATGTTGCGGCAGCAGTATTGGTACACGTCTGTCTGCTTATCCAGCGTCTCTATAACCTTCTCCTGCTGTAGTTCATTCTGCCACAGAGGGCGCTCTTTTAGCAGCCGCTGCAGCACCTCAGTGGGAGTTGCCGACACCTCCACACACACTCGCCACCTCCTTAGGGGGTTATTGTCTTCCACCTTACATACAAAGACATTATGCCTGGTGTATACCTTATCTTATCATGTGTAATTTGATTGTGTATGTATGTCTCCAAGCAAAGAAATATATGGAACCATTTAGATTTTTATTTTGGGTCAGTTTTTCACTTGAGTTGTGCTTCTTGTGGAGAAGCGAGCAACGACCAGCAAAGTATGCATATACTTATAGGGCACATCCCAAGTCTCTTATATGTGCCCACGTATCCCTCACTTGTCTTTTCCTTGTGTCTTGATCCTGTCCATGTAACATGAGGAAAAGATGGAAGGAGAAAATACAGGGAGAGAGGAACCATGACATAAAACATCCTTCCTTCTGATCCTTTATCTAGAGCATCCACTCACCAACTGATTTCCAATAAAGGATCATGTCACTTCATAAAAAACTCCCACAAAGGATGATCTTAACTCCTTGCTCCTCAACCCTCACTCCTCAGAGTGGACATAAGTGTCTCGGGATGTTGTTCAACCAAGAAGATGAATAATGGTTGAGCATCAAGGAGCAAGCAGCGAGGAATGATAATATTAGAGACTTGGGATGTACCAAAAAAGATGCAGCATTCCCCTGTATTCCTCGCCTTTCTGTTTTCATTGCTTGCTAGAACCTCCAGAAATTCAGTAACCACATACCTTTTTAAAGGCCAGTTCTGTGTGGTCATTAGTTGAACGAGGCACCCAGCCTTTGCTCTTATCTTTGGCTTCTTTCAACAAGTTCTGAAATAGGCTTTCTAGGTGTGCATGATAGGATCCTTCCTCATCCTCCTCGTCCTCGTCCACCTCCTCCTCATGAGCCTTGCACAGCTCGTCCAGTGGGGGCACCATCAGCTCAGCCTCCATATAGGAGTTGCGAGACTGGGTCACCATCTCCTCGGGGATCTAGGCAACAGCCAGAGGACGTGCAGCACATCAGACATCACATCACATCTAAATATTACCATGTCTGAAAAAAGACGTTTAAAAATAGATGCTATTTTTTTGTACAAAATTAAAACCACTATTCACTTTCATGTTCTACAGATTTCGGTGTCAACCAGTTTTGCTTGTATGAAAACAAACTCAAAAACACGCTGCAATCAAGTCTGTTTTTCTTAGCTCCTAAAAAGGTTTGCACTGTTAACAGCAGTATCTACTTGTACATGGTGACACTCTCAAAGTAATGATCATATACAGTTTTAGAAAAGAGTGCATTAAACACAATTATCCTGAGGCCTTGGATAATACAAACTCAGCACGGATAAACATCACTTGGCTTCAGGTAGTCAGTTTTTTTGGTCAGTTCATTTCATATACAGAATGAGTTGTACAACTTCTGTCAGTCATTTATCATTTTTCACTTGAATGAAAACAGCCCCATCAAGAACGACTAATATACAAGCAATGAAATACTGCTGTAAACTGTAAACCCTGACCTGAAACAGACGCTGGCACTCAGTGATCATGTGTGCCAGGCCCTGGGTGGCAGCCTGGCTCTCGTTCAGGTCTTTCTGATCAGGGCGGCCTGTGGCATACTTCCTCTGGATTACCCTTGAGAAATATAAATTACACAGAATTTGCAGAACACAGAGGGATAGAAAATGCACTTACTGAGGTAAGGGCAATTTCCATCATAAGGAGTTCAACTGATTAAATTTACATCAAAATAAAATAGGAGAAGCTTTATGTTGTTATTTATCTGTGAAAGACAAAGAACTGTTTTGTTTTAGCTTAATAACTATTGACCTTTATTCATACTTACTTCAATATATACATATACTTTTAACATAAATGATATAGCTTTGAATTGAATCCAAAATCATTAATCGGGTTGCTGCAATCATTAACCACCAAGTTGTTAGTCAGTTCCCATGGCAACAGCTATTTCTCCCAAAAAAATCATAAACATTACTTCACTGATCAAATCTTTGCAGGCTGCTGTTCAGAATAGTTTTTACATAAGAGTCAGTTCAGATGTGCACCTTGGTGACAGCATCTCATTCTTTAGTATGCTGAGTTGGAAGAGTGAAGGTCCCAGACAAACAGCCAGGTTCATTGGTGTCATCTGGTTCTCCTCCACCAAGGAAGTAACATCACGCAGGAAGTAGAGCAACATCTGCAGAACCTCCCTGTTTTCATCTGGCATCAACAAAATGGCCGCTCTGATGGCCTGCAACCACTGCTCTTTCGGGACGTCTATGGAAAAGCAGTTGACAAGGACTGATGGAATAAAGTGTGCATGTAAAACACAAAATCATACATACAGTAAGAAGCTAAAATTACTGTACATCACACACTGTTTTGGTCAAGTTTGGCTAATTTTATCGAGAATTGGGTATTATATAGTTTAAGATCATAAAATGCTAATCACAAAAACATATTTCTATGTCATATAAAAAAGTATCAAACAAGCACCGTCACCCAGATATGAAAGCTATTTGTTTGTGACTTATTCTGACTGTCATGTACTTGCTGTGCTGTGTATATCGCTTTTAATTTCAGCTTGTGAGCTTAAAGTAGCTGGCTGTACCAATCCACATCCACATTATCTCCGTGGCCAGAGTGCCTAGGGGGAAGTTGAGGCTGAGGCAGAGGACTTCATCTGTGTTGTGGCAGCTTCAGTATTTTGTGCACATAACAGGTGACTGGATCCAGAGCTCAAGGCAACTTACACTGGTAAATGTGCAGGAAGGTTTCTCCCAGCTTGCTCATTAGCAGAGGCTCAGGCAAATCTCTGAAAAACTGTTTGACCATGTCGGCCACGTCATAAGCTGACTGGTCCTCATAGCTCACAGAGTCAGGGGACAGCTCACACTGCTGCCTCAAAGCCTGAATACGAGACCTCACGCCAGACTTGCGAAACAAACCCACCTGAGAGAGGAGTGACAGAAGCAAAGCCAGTGAGAAAAAGGTTGGTTTTTACATCAGCTGCCTTGTGTTTGAAATGTAAATACTGTAATCAACATTCGCACTATGCGGAGGAAACTGATTCTAATCCAGTCCTGTAAATGCTGTTGTCTAACCTGGTCCAGACAGTGTTTTCTGAGGTGGCTGAGGGCCTGCTGTAAACACAGAGGGAGTGGAAAACCACAGCGCTGGACATGGACAATGAGGGGAACACCAAACACACTCTTCTCCTTGTAGTCAGGTACTTTCATGCGCTTCATAAACTTGGGCACAGACCTGGGAGTGATATATGGAAAACAATTAGAGAAAGGTGTGGGAGAAAGAACAGCCTGTGTTTTCATTATCTCACTTCATGTGTACGCTGGTCAACAGTTTTCCCTCTTAGGGATAGTAAAAAATAAAAAGGACTGGTCATTAACAACACAGAGATGTGCTTATGTTTGCAGGTTATGGTGACTGGCAGCCTTTGGCTAAAGCCAATTTCTAACTAACACTGGCATCTTTGATTATGCACAAACACTTGTTAACTGCCAATATCAGAGTAGCAGATGACACAGGACATTAAAAAGCATGTGAAGGTGTTGAGTGAGTATATGGTCCTGCTGTTTCAGCTCTAATGTAGAGAAGCTGAAGGCAGCAGTAAACAGAGGCTGTCACACCCATACAGAGTAATTCTTCCTTAGCTGACACAGAAGACTGGAAATAAAAAGGCAATAACACAACAGAAGGTGTGTTCATTTTTTTGTATATAAAAACAATGATAAAAGATGAGCGACATTGTAGAGAGGAGGAGAAAAACATTAAGACAATGACATGATACAATTTGTAATAGGCATTAAAGAGCAATTATGCAGGTGTGATGCAGTGTGTACCCACCATGTCCAGCCATGCTTATTAGACATTGAGTGTTTTTCCATGATGGCAGTGAGGCGGAGCAATGAGAACTTCTGCAGCAGGCTGAGCTGGCCTGCTGACTGGCTACTGATTTGCAGTGAAGATGCAGGCTGGTTGAGATGATCGGAGGTTCTGAAACTGGGCCATCGTAGACTGGGGTGGAGAAAAAAGCCCATGAAAATGAAGGGGAACAATAAAAGTAGAACTGTTCATTGTAAAGATTGCTCAGTTTATAGACCAACTCCAAAAAACAAGACCCAAGTTGAACAAATGATCTTTTATATACCTGAACAGCTACTCACCGTGGTCTTGTCAGCGAGGCCCCGACTCCAGAGTCTCGTCTCTCCCTACTGGTCCCTGTTGAATCAGTGTCATTCAAAGAAACTCCATCTCTCTCCCCTTCACTGGGGGTGGTCCTGTCCTCCCCTTCCTCCTCTCCTTCCCCCGTCTCACCCTCAGGCAGCACACTGCGGCTCCAGTGATCCACTATTTGCTGCAAACCACTGACATGCTGGATGATGTCGTCCAGGTGAGGGAACACGTTGTCCTCTTTCTCTAAGTCCAGCAGGTCTCCTGTGCTGGCATAAAGGTGGGAGCCCGGCACGTTGTCGTAAACACTCACCCTGCTGCCCTGTGGAGCTCCAGGACAGGGGGGCTTTGCCAGAAGTTTGCCAGACCAAGGCTCACCTAGCCCATTGTTGGATGGAGAAGTTTGGGCCAGTGTTTGAGAGTCATTGTTTCTGTCACTGGAAGGTGACAGGCTCTCTATGGACAGAGCTTTTGGAAAGGTGCCTGGTTTATGGTCTTTGGGGATGTGAACGAGGAGGTTTTCATATGAGCGAAACTGGTTTCTGCCGAACTGGCTCTGCCCATCAGTCCTCTTACCCTGAGAAGGCAGCTCCATATCCTCCAGATACATGCTGCTTCTCTTGCTGGCAGTCCGAGGTTTTGTACACACAGGCGCTTTTACATTGGGTGCCGCTGTCTCACTGCTCGGGCTCACATTCACTATGGATTGCTCTTTACAACCATTGCTAGGGGAGACAGGAGAAGTGCCATTATCTGTTTGGTGGTTGAGTTTAGGGCTGTGTTCCAATTGGTTGATGGGAGTACACTGGAGCTTCTGCAGTGCCTGAGGCTCCTCTCCCTGTAACACCGGCCCACTGATGACCAGTGGTAGCCTGCGATTTGAACTTTTCCGCCTTGTCGATGGCCCCCAAGTACGCATTATTTCCATTCGGCGCAAAAACTCTTTGGCTTTACTCCGCCCTCCTTGCCTGTGGTGGCTGCTTTTGATTGGCAGGGAGTTGTAATATGGAAGGTCCCTGGGTGGTTGGTAGGAAGTGGAGAGAGATGCCATAGATATAGAGTCAGGCATGGCGGATGCGGAGTCCTCACTGTGCAGCGAGGAGACTTCTGTGATCTCCTGCTCACTCAGGTCTGTCAGCACGCTCTCGCTGCTCACTGTGCTGTGCAGACCCTCCATCTGACCCGTCGGGCTGCTTTCATTGGTGCCGTCCAACAGGAAGTCTTGTAAACGAGACCAACGCCGACTGCTCCACTCAAATGTCCACCGTTTACTGATAGCCAATGGGTCATCTTCATCGGAGTCATCACCCTGTGGAAAGATAAAGGAGATATTTGGTACAGGGTCTTTGATATTTTCATACAGTACAACACAAAGCCTCAATTAAGTTACTTGATTTCAATTAGGTTGTGTTCACAAATACTGTACAGTTCCTTTGGAGGACGCTAAAGAAAAATCCTAATTGACTGATTTACTTCTTTTTAGGATTTACTACAAATAAAGCAAGAGCTGTAAACTCAGTGTGATGTGGAATTAATGCTTCTTATTGGGCACGTTTGGCAATCTAGATTTTATTCTAGTGACTGACAGCGACTTGTGCTGCACTTCAAGCTGCACCTTCACCACAGCACACAAAGAACTCAACACAAAGAAATACCTGGTAATTACAATTAGTTGACACTATAGTTACATGTCATCTGTCATAAAGTCCATTAAAGTGCTATACTGGACCATGAGAGGGGAAATATTTAGGTGGGATCACCAGATTAACTTTGCTTAACATCTGAATTCATATTTCTGTGCTGCATTCAGAATGACATGCACCAAAGTTCCTCTGGACAATGAGCATAAATTAACAAGCCTTTTTGAAGGTCTCAAAGTTGATTGATTACTTTTTTTTAACAGGTTTTTAAATCTTTACACTTCACAGTCCCACACCACAGATCTGAACCAAGGTTATATTTAGATATACAACTTTTTGTGAATCAATTATTGGTGTCCACAGAATTGACTGCAACATGCACATATGTTGATTTGTATCAGTGAAAATCTTCTAATGAAATACATTTCTGATGTTCTTTGTTATATTTTAATGTCTCATTTCATGTACTTACTGAGTTATTGATTGTTTTGAGATGTTTATTTCTCTGGGCAAGTTAACCACACATCCCAATAGAGCCATCAGCCTTGTTGCTAATTACATATATTGGTGTGGAGACCATTTTAAACATTTTGACCTGATAATGATCAAACTGGGATTGAAACATTTTCCATTTGAATAACATCTGAGATTTGCAGACAGTGTGCAGCTGGTACCCTTCACTGAAGTTTGAATTACGGTACAAATGTCTCATCTGCTATAAATCAACCAGACCAAACGTGTGATCAGCAAAAATCCTTTGCAGCGAAATCATAGAAACATGCATCTATTCATGACAGCTGGCCGAGGACACTGTATTTTCTTGGCAAATAAAAAGTTAAATATCAAATAGGATTTGGCCTACCTTCTTCTTGGGTTGGCTGACATCCAGTTTCATGGAGGCACACTTGTTCAGAGTATTTAGACGCCTGTAACACACACATTCGGTAAAACACACGAGAGCTGGCAGGCTGAAAATGTTCTGTTGTGTGTTTGCTTCGTTCTGCGCTGCTCACTTTCACTCTCTTATCTTACTGCTCACTACCACCTTCTTCCTTTCCTTCTAAGTAGCTTCCTTCTTTGATCTTCTTTCCTGAATCTGTCTCTTTCCAGCCTCCCTTGCCTTTTCTCACCATTCCCACCCCCTTCCACATCCATACTCTGAATCACTGGGGTTGTGAACAGTGGTTAGGAGGGTGGTGTCATTGTGGTGGTGGTGTGTTGGTACCTTTCAGGATGGGTGATTAAAAACATATTTTGAGGCTCATGACCTCTGTCATTTGAAACATTTCCACTTCTGATACAACAGCTGAAAATCATCATTTGTTCACCGTTTACTTTCTCTGTCCTCTCATATAAACAAGCATACACGGGACTGCCAATAGGAAGCGGCAATATCAACAATATGAATATCACATTTAAGGGTCTTTTTGGCCAGAAGTAAACACTAAAGTTGGAAAATATGCAGAGAAAACAATTGTAATATCTGCACCCTTTATTTCTGCTGCAGGATTGTACAACCAGTTATTTAAGGTGCATATATTCATACAGGTTTTGCAAACATGAGAACATAATTGAAATTTTAAACAGTTCTGAAAACACAGACAATGCAAAGAGCAAAGCACAAATTATGGGTGTGTTTAACAGCTCCTGAGTCAGTTCTCAGAGTTTCTCATGTGTATTCTCTCAGTGTACCTGTCAGGAATCACAAAGACTCTAATTACCCCACCCTCCTCTGCAATATACACTGGAGAAGTGGAGGTGAAATGAAAAAAGAAAAAAGATAAGAAGTTGGGAAAATATGAAGGTGCAAGCAGGGAAACTATTAAAAAGAGAATAGGAGATGTGAACCATAAAGATCATGGAGGGACGTAAACACACACACACTCAAAGCCATGTGGTAGAAAATACTGGCATCTCCTGACTCCTTTCTCATTACCCTCAGCCCCCCATTTTGCCCCCTGAGGGTCTCCGCTCTTTGAATGGTAGATCAGAGCATGTCGGAGGGGAAGGGAGGTGGCCAGATCAAAGCCTGGGTGTCTGAGTGGGAGACAGGGATGGGTTTATTAAGGGTCGAGGTCAGACATCTAATGAACAGCGGTTAACACCAGGCCACAGGGACAAGTCAGGCTACAGAACCGAGAAGAAGAGTCTGTGATGTGTTAAACATGTACTGAAACAGATAGAGGAAAACAATGAGGCCTGTGTGTGCACGGGTGGGTATCTAAATGTACAGCATGTACTGTATGTATATGTGTGTTTGTGTCCTTACCGAGATAGAGGCTCCACCAGGTCCCGCTCCAAGAAGTCATGGTCCCTTTTCACAGAGGCGATATCAATTGGAAACTGGGAATCTATAACAGAATCAGAGAAAGAAAAGTCAAAGAGAAAATGTCAGTTTGCGGATCCCCACCATGTAAATAACTGAATTTTAGGGTGACAACTTACTTTAAGGACAGAGTTATGCTAAGAGTTAGCATTAGGCAAGTAGCAGTTATGGTTAGGTTGGGGCAAGTGTGCAGGAAATGAACACAAGTCAATGTAAAGTCCTCACGAGCATTGACAACAAATGTGTGTGTATGTGTGCTGCTAAAGAAGGATTGCTGGATTGGGCTACTTCTTAGATTACTGAGGCCATTTCCTGTTTGGGCCTAAACAATATGAGACCTAATGATCATGCAGGTTTTCCAGAAAGGTGGAAGGATGGCAAAATGGAAGAAAGGAAGTAGGAAAGATGACTGGGCAAAAAAAAAGACAGAATGAAAAAAATATGGCATGATGGGTGCACTGAGGACAAGGTGGAGGGAGAAAGGTGGAAGAAAGAAGAGAGAAAGAGAAGCTTGTGAATCCCAGCAGTGATAACAAGGCCTTTCCCATGACCCACTCCCTCTGGACAGGAACTGAAGTCTCAAAATAGAACAGAAGACAGGAATACAGAGATGGACGGATAACAGAAAGAAAGAGAGAAACAGAGATGATGGAAAGAAAGTAAGACAGAGAGAGAAAACCAGAAGCGGGAATGAACAAAAGGAAATATTTGAAGAAGCAAGTCTGTGTGAAACAAGGCAGCTGGGTAAATTCTGGACTTCATCTCTGAGTGCATGGTTATGTGTGTTACCTTCATAGAGCTGAGCATACTGTGGAAATCCTGCTGCTCTAAGCCAATCACAGGCCTCCTTAGCCTCAATCTCTGCAAAAATAAAGCAGATAGAGATCAACATACATCATTCCTGCATTCAAAATGTGACTTATCATACATATTTTTTGGTGTTTATGGTTCTACCCTGAAATACAAAACGTGGAAGCAGTTCAGAGTGATTAAAAAAACTGAACTGAAATGGGGCCTAATATTACATCACTTTTTTTGGAGGAAAGTCCCTACATTATTGAATTTCCCTCTGAGAATTCCAGTGGGTTTACAGTACGTTTTCTCCATGTCCAAAGTATACGCTAAATACAGATAAAGAGTCAAACACACACACACACACAAAACCCCACAACACTGTAATTGTCTGTTAACTACATCCCAGCATTTGGAGCATAATGGGGAGGAACATCTCAGAAGTTTCCACAGAGAATTCACAGGAATAGAAACGCTGGAAAAGTTGCACCTTTTATACAATTTAATGATATCCAGTCAGAGGAGCTGACAGCCAGAATCCATCTACTGATGCAAAAAGCTAACAGGCACCACGCCCTATTAGGTGCCGCCACCCGCGTCACGAGATGTTTCACATGCATTTGTTTTACTGCTTTTTCCACTTGCATATGTTTCACTCACACCGCTAAAGTGGCAGCTCTGAAATGTGCATGTGTGTTTGTGTGTGAATACTTTTTCTTTATGAGCAGACTCTGCTAAAACTCCTCTGGAGAGCCACTGCATCATCTTGGTGCCAGAAATCACATGAGTTAAAAGAAAATGTTTGCAGATAAACGCTGCAATGCAAAAAGACATACATTTACTGCTTTACTCGTACACTAATATGTAAACTGTGGAGCTCAGGGTTTGTAAAAGGATATTTTTTAAGTTATGAAATTATAAATAATAGAAAGGCAATTATATGGACAAAATAAAACCAGAGAAATGAAAAAAATGACAATTTTTAAAGGTTAAAATAATATAAATGTCTACACAGCTAGTAAATATAATAAATAATATCACTCGCTACCCCTTACAATACCCTACTCATTCACTCTCACTTGGCCCATTTAAAGCTTTAGAAGTGCTTGCAGTGGATGGGAGAGACACCGCAGAAACACTGGGGACAAAGTTCAGCAGTTTTAAAAAGCCTCCGTCTTTGCCATCAGAGATGAGAACAGTCAAAGGAAATGATCGTTTCACCGCAACCAAGCAATTACATCCCTCTCCCAACATTCTCAGCATAACTCCTCTCTCGAAATCATAAACAGCCTGAAGCAACATGAGGGCAAATCATGAAAAAGTATTTGTTTGTAACGCTGAAAATAGACTGAAGGGACAGAGACATTCCAGTGAGAAGCCTACAGCGTGGCAAACCTGAAGACACAGAACTGAAAACTTACTTGAAGCCCTCATGGTGCAGACGATGACATGCTTCTATTTCTCTCTCCTTTGCTCAGACTGAAGTTTCCTCTCCGTCCCATCGCACATCCATTAGCTACTATCCAACTTTCTACTGAGTGCCAACGATGCCACGCTCTCTTCCTTGTTGTCCTGCCAGCCCTCGTATTAACAACTCTGCCTCTGCCTTTCAGCCTGCCCCAAGCAGATTTTCTCTTCCCTCTAATTTCTTCTCAACCTCCTCTCTCACACTTTCTGCTTGGTGAAAATCCACATACAATATCTCTCTACGTTTACAGCTCTCTGGTTTACGCCACACTAGACTCCTTTCTTTTCCTCACTCTTGTTGTAGTTTCTTGCTTTTTCCTTTTTGCACTGAGCATCACCTTTTCTTCATTTCTTCTTGGTCTCATGCTTTATTAAACATTACCCTTTCTTTACTTTTTTAAAAGCATTTTCTTGCTTCTAAACTCGTCTTCCCCTCAAAGTCTTCCTCTAAACAATAGTACTCTATCACACATTTTCCTTAATCCATCTGTCCTCTTGCTTCTTTCACTGACACCCCCTCATCCTTTTCTTCCACTCTGCTCCAACAGAACTCCACATCTTTCTCAGTACCAGAGCTGCTGTTGCCAAATCACATCCATTGAGGAAATGGCTAATTTCAGCTGGCATTTGCAGCAGCCAGCCCCTGAAGTCGCAGACTAATGACTGGTGGACGCTAACCTCACATGTCAGCTGAGCCTTCTGGCAGGCTAGCAAGGACGCTCTGACATCAGCTCCTTTCTGTTGCCTAACTGTACAATACTGTGGACTAGAACAATGTGTGGGAGAATGCAGTGTGTATGCATACACATACATTGCGAACAGCAGTGGAGACATTTAGCACAGTCCAGATGTTGCCCCCGGTGAGTCAGAAAATGCAAAAAGGATGAGGCAGCCAGACAGCTGGGGTGGGGAGGGAAGCTAAGATGGACAGATCCTGTGGGAAAACCACAGGGAGGGAGACATACCACATCAGCTGCTTATTTACTGAATGTGAGAGTTGAAACCAGAAAGACAGAAACCAGGTTATAAAAATTCCAAAAATATTTTCACAATATGCCACAAGACATCCAGTTTTGACCATTCAAAACACATCAGTGAGCCACACTGCTGCACAGGTTGGGATGTTCCTTTATTACAATAAACACTCAATAGTGCACCGAATCCTGAACACAGTCAACAAATGCACATGGTGTGTGTAACGTTTTCTACAGCTGTTTCAGAAAACTACTAAATGATATTTTTTTGATAATTTGTCTTGAGTAGGAGCCAACAAACCAGGGACTGAGTGACACAGACAGACAGAAGAGGGTGAAAAGTCTTTAGAAACAGATTGACCCAAGTTTATTTTCACTGTATTAATCATTGTATTTTTATATGAACTGGTTTGCAAGTTTTCAAATCCACTGTCCATTCTTCCAAAATGCTTTTACAAACCTAAGACAAACACATTCTCCTCCAATATATCAGAGATCTGGTGTGTGAGCTAAAATATATGTATATCTGGTGTAAACCTGCATAGATTTTCAGTGCTGGTCGTTGCAGACTGTCGACAGTGGAAACACTTCATTTACCTAATAATTCTACACAAAGCCTCAAACCCCTCTATCTAGGAACTGGTCTTACACTTACTTTTCTGGTGTAGCATTTAAAGGTAACAAGCGTTATAAAGTCACTGTAGTCCCATATAAAGATTTTAAAAGCACAACGCAACACATTTCATTGTTTGTGCATATGTAATTGACTTAACTTACTTGTCCATGTGTTTGTGCACAAGTGCAAAGTGGCAAAGTTCCTGCCATCGTGGGAACAAAAACACTACTGGCAAACAAAGCACTACTGTGCAGAATTTAATCATAGGATTAATTAGTGCACAAATATGTTATTAGCGGGCCACAAAACATACAAATGCACACAGTCAGACAGAGGTAATCCAAGCTGCCCACCGTGCTTTTGCTTCACTCTATTCCATGTTGCTGCATTCCTACTGTGTAGAATATATGAGAACAAGCAGCAAGCCCCTAGAATGACAGCAGGGAAGGGAGACAGATGGCATGTGTATGACTGTGTGTCTGACTGTGTGTGGGTGTGTGAATAGGGACGTCCACGCATGGCACAAAGGGGCTTTAAGGTAATTCCATACATAACTATGGTGCCAGCTAAGTTACATAATACACGCAATACAAGCACAGCTTTTCCTCTGAGCATGTGCCCTTGCCTTTCTTTCCCTGACCTTTCATTTCCTCTATCTTTCATTTCCTCCCCTTTGTCCAGCACCAGTAAACTAGACTTTCTGACTGCCTGTTCTCAGTGCTATGTCTGGCTGGTATGGGGTCTTGGGGACCATGAGGCGCCTTGCAGGACATCTGTGCTGTATTTCCCATGCGCCAGAGTGGCGTGCGAGCTAAGAGCAGCAACAAGAAGTTCGTGGACTGAACGTGTCACTGGGACTCAGCTGGGACAATTGTCAGACAGACTGAAGTATGCTAATGAAGAATGGTGCTGGATAGCTATATTTACATGCTGCTTATTTAAACAGTTCAAATCAGTTAGAAAACTAAGAAAGATAAACATCATGGATATGGGGCAAAACATGCCTAACTTATAGTGTACTTTGTAAAGTAACTGAGCAGTCAAACACCTTCTGCAAGGCTACACACATGCACAGACAAACACACGCAGAGTATGCCTGGAATGCAGCTATATTCCCACATAAGCTAAGGCACTTACGCCTTCATGTTTAAAGGTCATAAAAAAGTACTGAAGAAGACAGAGGAGGAGTGATGGGAGTGGAGGAGGAGTGATGGGAGTGAAGGAGGAAGGAAGGGAGGAAGGGACTTAAGGAGCAATATGTCTGTCCTGTCCCATGTGGCTCATCTGTGATGATGATGAGCCTTCAGGAATGTGCTGTGAAACCAAACAAACCCCCACTGGTGTAAAATCACAGCAGGTTCAGGTGCAGAGGTTTGACAGCCCTGGATATAATATCATTACTCTAAGTTAGCAGTTGACCATAATTATTAATAGCACTGGGGTTGTGATGAGTGTTCACAGGCTATATGACTAGGGTGGGCTATGATGAGATGAGAAGACTGAATGTGATCAAGTTGTGTGTGTGGTTATGCCACCTTTACTCCAGCAGAGGGCGTAAAAGCAACATGTTACAGGCATATTAAATTTCTGTCAGCTGACCAAGAAGCCTCAGGCTGTAAGGGTGTAGGGTGACAGTTTGTATGTGTTGAATCCAGTGGTGAAAGAAGTAGTCAGATATCTTTACTTAAGTAAAAGTAGCAGTACCACAGTGTAAAATACTCTATTACAAGTAAGAATCCTGCATTCAAAATGTGACTTAAGTAAAAGTACAAAAGTATTACCTTCAAAATATACTTAAAGTATTAAAAGTACTCAAGATGCAGAATGACACATTTAACATTAATGTATACCATAATGTCGGAGTGGCTGCTCAGCAGCTGAAGCTTGGAAGAAGACAGGTGATGCAGTAGGACAATGACCCTAAACATCAAACTAAATCTATATTCCAAAGGCTTCATGTAATTGTTTTCGGCTCACGGTGAAACATCAACATCAGTGTATCCAGATTCCAT